ATATGAGTGGGCCTCATCCAATCACTGAAGACAGCTTGAAGATTGTAGAGCTTGGGACTTCTCAGCCTTCAAAATAGCATGAGCCAATTCCCACCCCTCCTCTTCCTATCCATCCATCCTCCTGCTCTGTTGCTTTGGAGAATGCTACCTAACAGACCTCTATTTTATAAACAACTACACTGTAGTATGAGTAGATGAAGTGTACTGAAAGTCTCATTCAGTTTTTCAAAGTGGTGTGTAAGACCAACACACCTAGGTCCTAGACTCTGGTTCTTATGCCACTCGAATACATACATATCTCCATTAAAGTATCTCATATTTAAGGTAATTCCTAAAATCCCTTAAACATATTTCTAGTTGTTCTTTCTTTCTTAGGAACAAAAGTTGATTCTTGTTAATAGTTTTAATATTGATAGCATTAGGTCTTTCTCTTAAGTGGAAGTTTAGAAGAAACATAAAATCCACTGGGTAATGTAATCCTCCATTTAAAAAGATACCTTATGCCTCAACACCATTAAATATTAAGTAAGATATCAATTTCAGCCTACAATTGTATACTTGTCAATTCCCAATTTCAAACTATATAAGAGAGATTAGTTGTAATATTCACTATGCTCTAAAAAGATGCTTTGTAGCTTCTGCATAATTTCTGGATAAATATAATAAAGTATTTCTATCTATTTTGGAACCAAAGCCCAGAATTTCAAATTTTCTGAGGGGAAAAATAACAAAAGGAATTGCTATCCAAATACTTCATATAAGCAAAGAGTTGTAAGGCCAAAATCTTAATTTCTTGAGATATAATCAACATATAACATTATATTAGTTTCAAGTATACACATAATGATTTGATAAATGTGTATACTGCAAACTGGTCACCACAGTAAGTCTACTTAACATCCATCACCACACAGTTACAAATTTTTCTTGTTATGAGAATTTTTAAGATCTACTCTCTTAGCAACTTTCAAATATAAAATACAGTATTATTAACTATAATCACCATGCTGTACTTTACATCCCCAGGACTTATTTCTTTTATAACTAAAAGTTTGTATCTTTTGACCATTTAAATTTTTTTAAGTTTTTTTTTTCCTGTTATCCTCATCTGAGGACATTTTTTCCACTGATTTTTAGAGAGTAGAAGGGAATGAAGAGAGAGAGAGGAATCGAACCTGCCACCTTTCGGTGAGTGGGCTGATGCTCTAGCCACTGAGCACACTGGCTAGGGTGAATATTTAATTTCTTTATTTTGTTGCTTACTTCTGATTTCAGTCATAAGTTCAAGTGTCCCCCCCCCCACAAAAGGAAAACTTGCACAAATCTTAGGCAGATGAGTAAACAAACAAAGGTGAAAATATAGGATTAGTTATACTCAGTTTGAGAATGCTGACTTTCTGGTTAACAAACCAATAACTTAATCTCAAAATAACATAAGCCAAAGTACTAGTGATTCTCTTCTTTTTCCTTTTCGTGATACTCTTAATATTTAAAGCTCTCAAAACAAATCTTCATCTACAATATTTTCCCAGCAGCATTAGCAATTAGTTGGCTAGTAAGGAAGAATGACTCATAGCTGCCTTTTCTAGAGCCAATTAATATTTTTAAAAAATTACTCACTAATTACCTAAATTCTAAAATAACATCAGGGTAATACTTTTCAAATTTTACAAAAGCTCAAAGTTAAATGCGGTGCTTATGACATTATCTCCTTTACTATACATCTAAGAAAAAAGCATCCTGGCTATCAATCAAGGTTGCTTTTGGGAACATTAACAGGTAAACAAACAAACAAAAATGTTAAAACAATATACATAATGGTCTTTTGGGAAAAAGGACTGCTTTGAAAATAAGGAGGATTTTGTTGTTGTTGTTATTTTGTTTTAAGACTTAGCCCCAAAAGTGAAGAACAGTTTTGACCTCTTTCCAATTTATACAATCAAGATACCATTACTTGCTTTTCTTTAAAATTTATAAGAATGTTAACAAGAGAATGAAATATACTGAACTCTGCATTCTCAAAAAAAAAAAAAAATTTCACTGTAGAGGAAGAGTATCTCTCAATACATGGTCATGTATGGCTTTTACATCAAGGCTTAACCCCACTTTGAGCCTCGCTGGACCCACATCTGAGAAATAGTTTGTTTTAAAATGTTTTATAAATTTGAAAGATTTCTTCTTGGTTGATTTTTCCCTAAGTAACAAATTACTGAAATAAAGCTGCAATAACTGATTGTCTCTTGACCCAAGGAAGATATATTTTATTAACATGTTAAGATATCCTTTCAGTGGGCTGAAAAAAGGAAAGTACTACAAAATAGGGACTGGAACAATGTCACATACCAAATATGGTGAAAAGTAGAAGAAATCTGAAATGACAACTACACTATTTGATTTCACAAAACAAAGAATCATTCCCCATGTTTATTTAACTGAATTAACTGAGGTCTGATTCTAAGACTCACAACATTCTGTTAAAGCAGAATTTGCACAAAACCACTTGATAGCACTGTGTTCAGAACAGAGTTATTGCATCCAGGTAAGACTGAACAGGAATGAATCACTTAAAATTACAAAACCTAATGTTGCGCTGGCTGGTGTGGCCCAATGGTTAGAGCGTCGGCCCTCACACCAAAGGGCCTCAGCTTTGATTCCCAGTCAAGGGCACGTACCTGGTTGCAGATTTGATTCCTGGCCCTGGAGGCAACCAATTAATGTGTCTCTTTCACATTGATGTTTCTCTCTTTCCCTTTCTCTCTCTCCCTTTTATTTTCTAAAAGCAATGGAAAAAATATCCTTGGGTGAGGATTATTAATAGCAACAACGATGACGACAACAAAACACACACAAACAAAAAAACCTGCCTGCTGTCCCCAACACTGGAGCAACTATGAGCAACATTTTAAGAAAAATATTAATAAATCTAACCCTCCCCTAGAGGAATAATGGACTTTTCCAGCAGATCCTAGGAAAGAAAGAAACTGCAGGCCACAAGCCTCCTTCACAACATCAGGATAAGAAAGGAAGTCACTTGCAACTACTCACTCACTCCGGAGGGCTTATCCATTCCCTATCTCAACTCTCTTCCAAAGTTCAAGCAGTTTCTCTGTTTCAACACTCACCTCCAAGTCCTGTTCATTTTGCGTAACCCTTTCAGCAAAAATAAAAACCTAAGGATTGAGCCAAATGAATCTCAGAAAGTCTTAATGCATCTTGCCACATTTATAAAGTTTGTGTTATTATTAAAAAATAGAATCATATTAAAAATTTGGGATTTTTCAGATTTTTTCACTCATTTAAAATTTATTGTCATTTTATCTTCACAAAAGTCGTTTGAAATAGATATTACAGATAACCGAGTTCAGAGGTAACTTGTCCTAAATCATAAAGCTTGTAAGAGGCTGAGTCAAGATTCAAACTCAGATCCAGAAGATTCCATAAGGACCATATACTTTATTACCTCCTATACTCAGTTATCAAATTGTACATAAATAACTTCTATCAACTTGTATGATGCAAAAAAATTCCTTTTTAAAGTGGCCTTACTTTTAAAAATTCATTATGTGATGATGCTAAAAGTTCTAAGGCTATAAATTAAAGATCACCCAATACCAGTGTCACCCTACACTCCAGTAAGATGAAACTAACTAGGAAAAGGGTTAGGTCAAAACCAATAGTCTCTGCTTTGCATTGTATAAGTAATTCACTCCTTGTTTTCACTGTAAGCTTCTGCCTCAATAACAAATTCCTCATCAGAAATAATACATATTAGCCAAACCATATAATAACTGAATTAGCAAATCAAGCTTTTAAGACACTCAATGTCAAATGAAAAGTGATTAACTGTGTACACCAACTGGTAATACTGTAATTTCAACAACACCTTAAAGTATTAAAGGTGTTAAAGCAATGATGTATAACCATTTCAATTACCATTCAGACTTGGGAAGTACTTCCAATTAAAAATGGTTTGCTTAGCAAAAGATAACTGGAGTAGAGTTTACAGATTCTGATTTTATTCTCAGTGTTTTTAAAATAAGCCCGAGGGCCAAGTGTTACATATATCAATTATCAGTATAAAGCAGTTATTTTCAAGAGTTCTCTTCCACACCCCTGGGATTGAAGAAAGGTAAAATTTAGCACATGGTTCCACCTCAGCCTGGGGAACAACGTGCGTATCAAGCTGCCCCTCTAGGGGCTGCTCCAGGTCACAACCAATCTTAATGACTCTTCTCTGAGAGAGGCTAGGCCAGAAGAGGGTAAAGGCCGGGGGAGAAGCTCCCCGCGACGGACCCATTCAACAAGAGTAACCGTGAGTACACATGTGCAAGGAAGCGTAAGCAAATAAATACAGTCCCAGTAAGTCAATCATGGCTATCTTTTACTAGGTCTAAACCCTACTCTCTCTCACACCCTTACCCCAGGTCTTTTGGTAGCTGGTAAGTTATGAGGTCCAAACCTGCTTTATTTCACATTCTTTTTCCATCCTTCACGTCCCTACCGCCTTCGGCACAGGTTGAGATTTCCAATTCTGCTTGTTCTCTCCTGCTATCAAAATTGTATTTCCATTTCCTAGGTCTTTGATAGACGCAATGAAAAGACATTGTTTTCTGAACCTTAAAAAAAGTCTTCTAAATCTCAGTTTAACCTTCTTTTAAAATCACTGTAAAAGTAAAAACTGAAGGATTCACTGGAATAATTAGCTAATTAATGAATTACATAAGTGATATTTACATTCATTAAAAAAACCAAGTTGATGAGTTTCTTTAAATATTAAAAACTCATTGAGATAAAAATTTTACCAAGCATTATTGTAGGATGACTGTCTATTTCAAGTTTACCAAAGGCTTGTGAAAAATGTAACTGATCTAAAAATCAGGCAAGCAGTATGTATCAGAGATACTCCTTAACAGGTACCCAATTTTAAAATATTTTTTGAAAAGCTAAACTAGAAGCCTCCACACCCTATGTCATATAAAATAGAGAAATTTAGTAAATACCTGAACGGAAGTGGCTGTTTCCTGTAAATGGCCACCAGCAACTGCTCCTTTGGAAGTTGCTAAAGGGACACTGTGTGTTTTGAGGGCTTCTGGGGTATCAGTCTTTTCATCTGTCCTATGTGACTGCCAGGCTTCCTTTCGATGATGAGACTCAGCAGCCTGCTGGTCTCCAAAAGCAGCCCAAGAGCAACTATCTTTTGGTTCATCCTCAAAAGCATTCCAATCAACAACCTGGCTAGGACCAGCTGAACTGAAGTCCGCAAAATCATCAGAGTCCTGAAAAGCACTGCAGTCATCTTGAATATTTGGCACAGAATCAAAATCTCCAAACTCTCCTTCTTGCCCAATTTTTAGTTTTGAAGGAGGTTCAGTTCCTGTGGATTTTCTTTCCAACTTACATTCCTCTGAAAAACTGTCAGAATTCTGTTTTTGGTCTGACTTGGTAAATATAATTTCCTCTTGGCAAGAAACAGCATTCGTATCCCCAAATTCTCCAAACTCATCACCTGGTTGACTAACATGTGGAAAGTGCTCTGAGGACTCTTCAAAAGTGACATCACTCATTGAATCTTGAGTACTAGTAACAATAGGTGGAGTTGTGCCACTGGCTGTGCCAAAGTCACCAAAATCATCCTCACTGGTATCGTTGTAAGTCACAAAGTCGTTACTCCTATCACCATTTTTTACACTTACAGAATCACCCAAAACATTTTCTTCTGTAGGATCAATGCTGGGGCTTTGGGAATCAGTAAACTTTCTACTTTCTTCTTTGGAAGAACTAACTTCATCATCAGCATCAAAACTTTTCACAGAATCCATGCATAGGTCAGTCCATTTGGAAGTAAATAAATCAAGCTTTTCCTCAGTGTTACACTGTTCTCTCCTACTGGCTTCTGAGTTATCAGCTGAGTCTTCCAAACTCCAAGCCTTTGATTGCATACTTGAATTTAAAAATTCATCCTGTTGCAATGTTGGAAGGCCTTGTTTTTTAGTACTGAGACTCTTCATGCTTGTTTCTGAAAGGTAAACCTGATCTTTTCCTTTAATGTGTCCTTTATCATCAAAGCTTCTACCCAAAGACACTTCTTTTATAGAATTCAGTTCATTAACTCTATTAATTTTATTGTTTTCTTGAATGGTTAGTGCTTCTCTGTCACTTAAAACTCCACATCCTATTTCTTCTAGTTGTATCCTTTCCTTTTCGGGAAATGTGGCAAAATCTGCAAATTCCTCAGCAGGACTATGTGCACAGTCTAAATTACACTCAGTAGCATGAGTGCCAAGAGGCTTTCTTCCTTTTGAATCTGCTACAGTGTCCAGATCATCTGTTCCCTGAGGATTTACAGTTTCCAATACTGCAAACCCATTTGTCAGAATCTCCAGACAAGGAGGCTTTTCACCATTGCAGCTTTCTAAATGCTTGTTCTGGTGAACAACATTTGTATCAGTTCTAAAGTCTCCTGGAGAAAAACTTTCAGGTGTCCCAACATTCTGTCTCTGCTCCATTATTTTATTTAAATCTGCTGGACTTTCTATGCCATCGATGGAAGTATCTAACGTTTCAGATGGAATTACTTCTTTGCTGGTGGTGGAGAGCAAAACATTAGACTGTCCTTTCACAGGAGAAGGAAGTTCAGCAGTGATGTCCTTATCGTTACCATTTTTAATGGGCTGAAAGCTTGTAAGGCTATCTACATTTTCTGAGAACTCATGAATTGGCATAAAATGGTTTGATGGTACAAACTCTTCCTTGGGACGAGTACAGTCCGGTGTTTCAAAATCAACAAACCCTACACTAGATGGGCTGACTTCGGAAAACCCACCGAACTCCCCAAATTCCTCGTCCTCCTCCTCCTCGGCGCCTGTGTCCAGGGGTGGCGGGGATGAGGAGTACATTCGGATAACGTCTGGCTCCATTGCTCACTGCTTTCAGATAATTAATTTATACCTGCAAAAAAAGGACATTTTTTGAGGATAGATTGCACATAACAAGATCTTTCAAAATTCTCTAAGCTACTTCAAAACAATGCAAATTTACAGTGCGAAATGTATCTTTTAAACTATTTTCCTCTTAGGTGAGGTTACTTTTCACAGCTATAATAATATGCCAAAAAAATTTCTCTCTTCTAGTGTGTTTCCAAAGGCACTGGTAGCACATTACTAAATTTGGAGACTCCAACAAACTTCAAATAAACACAAAAGTATATCTACAAACCTCTCTTTTGGGGCGCTTGCTTGTTCTAAGCCCTCTTTCCAGTCTACTCAGGGCTTGCCTTATGAATTTGTATGATTTCTTCATAAATAAACCACATGAAAATTTTATCTCTAATAATTGCTATAAGTATTTTCCTCACTTTGCTTTTCAATGTTTATTTCTGACCCAAGCTGATTCTGGTTTTTTGTTTTTGTTTTGTTTTAATAGACTTTCTTTTAGAGAAGTTTTAGGTTCATAGCAAGAGAGCAGAAGGTACAGGTTTCCCAATACTCCCCGCCCCCTCATGCACAGCCTCCTCCATTACGCACATCTTCCACCAGAGTGGTATATTTGTTACAACTGATGAACCTACATCAACACGTGATTATTACCCAAAGTCCAGAGTTTATATTAGGGTTCACTCTTGGTGTTGTGCCTTCCTTGGGTTTGGACAAATGTAATTTCACTGTCCTAAAAGTCCTCTGCGTTCTACCTATCCCTCCCTTCCTCTCCCCTGTCTCTGGAAACACTGATCTTTTCACTGTCTCTAGAGTTTTGCCTTTTCTAGAATGTCATGTAGTTGAAATCATACAGGGGGTCCCCCAAAAATGTATACACATTTTAACAGCTGATAGCTCAATTTTGAAAATGAAATGCCTTTTAATAAACATTGCCTTCATAATTATTCAAAGTGTGTGTGTATATTTTTTGGGAAACCCAGTATGTAGCGTGTACATACTGTATGGTTGGCTTCTTTCACTTAGTAGTACGCATCTAAGGTCCCTCCATGTTTTTTCATGGCTTGATAGACCATTCCTTTTTAGCAGTGAATAATATTCCATTGTCTGCATGTACCAGTTTAATTTTTTATAACTTTCAATTGTGAAATCATCTAGCACGCACAAGAAGTTGAAAAATATATAGTATATATTCCACTCAGTTTCCCCTCCAACAATAGTACATGATTAAACCAGGAAACTGACATCAGTACAACACTATTAACTGCTCTGGACATTGTTTAGAGTTCACATTTTTTTCTTTGTAAGGTGTGTGTGGTGTGTGCATTGTGTGTGTGTGTGTGTAGTTCTAGGATACTTATCACACGTATAGATTAGACTGGAATAACCATCACTACAACTGGGATAAGAACTGATGCAAAAAGTTTCACAATATTCATCAATATAAAGAAACTCCCTCGTGCTTACCCTTAATAGTCACATCCTTCCCTAAACCCTAACTCTTGGCAACCATTGAGCCATTCCCCATCATTATAATTTTTCTACTTCAAGAGTGTTATATAAATGGAATCATATAACATGTAACCCTTTGAAGTTGGCTTTTTCCACTCAGCTTAATGCCCTGGAGATCCATCCATGTTGTTGCATGTATCAATAGTTTCTTTTTTTTGCTAAGTAGTATTCTATTATATAGATATACCCCAATTTTGTTTTTCCATTCACTCCATGTAGGGCATTTTGGTTGTTTCCTGTATTTTACAATTATAAAGCTGCTATGAACATTTATGTACAGATTGTTATGACAATATTAGTTTTCATTTCTCTAACTTAAGTACCCAGGAATATGAATGCTGGGATACAGTGTATATGTTTAACTTTATAAGAAAACCGCCAAACTGTTTTCCCAAATTAATTTTTAAGGAGTCAAACCAATTGATTTTCTTGTTAGGAATTTTCTTCATTATTTTGCTATATTGAGGCTTAAGAGTTAATAAATAGTATTTTTATTTTCTTCTACTTTTGGAGTGTATTTTTAGCATTTAATTTTTAATCTGTCTAGAACTTATTTTACTGTATGACCTAAAGCAAAGGTTTAAGTAAACTTTTTTTCTACATAGCAAAGCAATTATCATAATCCCATTTACTGAATAATCCTTCCCATATCCTTTAGTTTATCATGTGTTCTTTTTTAATACATTTAATTCTTAAATGGAATCTATGTCTAGGCTATTCTGTTGCCCTGTACTAAACAGTCAAAAGTGCCACAAAGACAGACTAACATTAGAAGCAATGGGAGGATTAATAATGAAAGTTCTAGAAAAAAATTAGCCCATAAACAATTAACCTATGAATTGATACTTCCTGCAATTCAGTTGCTAGTTAGGTACATGAGGAAAACGGTACTACAAAATTCAACCAGTTTTGCAGCTAAAAAAAAAAAAAATCAAAAAAAAAAATCACTTTCTTCCAACTCTCAGAATAAAATTTCATGTGATTTTCCAGTTTTAGGGAGAAGGTACCTTAGAAACCATTTTAGAGATGAGGAAAATGGGGCCAACTGATGATCAACTGTCCCAAAGGCCATACAGCTGGTTAATAGAGAATAACTTCAGAATTTTGAAAAGGATCTTTGAGATCAATGACTGGTCAGTCACTGAGAGTTACTTGAAAAAAATAAGCAAGTCATAAGAAAAGTAAAAGGCCCCATTGTAATATATCTACTTTAAATTGCCTTCCTTATAAAATTAGCATCATAAAAAAGAATATAACCTTTTAGTTATTTTAGCTTTAGTTCTGAGATACCTTCTTTTGTGCTGCTGATTTAAAGAGAAAAGGGAAAAAACAGTAAAACACACATATATAAACCCTATTTTCTTCCCTTGTTTAGAGTCCTGAAAACTCCTTCCAATGTTTAGTGTATGGTGTAATTTGACCTCTAAAAGTTTCCCTGTAATTATTAAGTTCCTATTATTTAAAAACACTGGTTGTTAATGAGAGTGTAGAGAAATGGACACTTGCACGCACACACTGCTGGCAGGTTTGCAAACTGTTACAAAGCTTCCAGAAGGCTGCCTATGCTATATAAACCCATTAAAAAAAAAGGTAACACAAAATGCTCCAAAGAAATTATTTAAACAAATTATGTATATTCTTACAGTAGCATACTATGTAGTCATTAATATCTTTTTTTTTTTAAATTTAAAACATTCATAATGATGGGAACATGTCAAAAGGACACAAAAGCCAGCTTGAAGGGGCTCCAACTGGTTAAATCGGATAACTTGAGCATCAAAATAAAAATAATTAAAAAAAATTGATTATAATCCACTGAATAAAACAATAAACTATCAATTCTCACAGATATAAACATGTAAGTGAATAAATTGAAAGTCAGATGAGGAACAGGATATGCATAGCTTCAAAATACCTCCCTACAACATACTTAATGACAAAGGGAAAAAGTGTAACTTTATAGTGGTGAAGCTTGACACTTAGTCAAGTAATCAAAGTGACCATCATTAGTAATGGGAATATTGAAACCATGCATCACCTGACAAATGCAACAATATGAACAGAGGATCACTTTTGGAATATTCCTGCCACAAACATATAACCTAAATTGAGTTATGAGGAAACTTCAAACTCAAATTGAGAGACAGTCTATAAAACAATCTTCAAAAGCATCAATGTCATGAAAGTTAAAGAAAAATTGAAGAACGGTTCCAGACTGAAGACGACTAAAGAGACATAACAAGTAAATGCAGCATTTCACTCTCAACTAACTCCCTTTTTATAAAGGTCATTATTGGGATGATTATGAAACTTGAAAAGAGTCCAAGGATTAGACAGCAGCAATGTATTGATGCTAATTTCTTGATTTTGATGGTAGTATTGTGGTTATTTAATGATTAAATTTAATGTGGTTAAGATAATGTCCTTGGTAGTAGGAAATATACATTAGAATATTTGGGGAAGAAAGGGCATTGGGTTGGGAAGTCTCAAAGTGGTTCGGAAAAAAAAACTTATTTGTACTAACTTGCAACTTTTTATACACTTGTGATCATTTCAAAATGAAAAAAATGAAAAATATTCAAGGAGATTTATGTTTGTATTTAAATATGCACATTTTACAATAAACATGTGTTAGCTTAACAGTATCTTATTTTTTAAAAATTGTGGCAAAATATACTTAACACAAAATTTACCATATTAACCATTTTTAAGTGTACAGTTTAATGGCATTACTTATACTTACACTGTTGTGCATTCTTTATCATCATCCATCTCTAGAACTTTAATCTTTCAAAATATCAAAGTATCTTCTGTACCCTGAAACAGTAACTCCTCATGACCCTTCTCCACTCCACCCCCACCCCCAGCTCCTGCAACTGCCATTCTACTTTGTCTCTAGGAATCTGACTACCCTAGGTACTTCATAAAAGCGGAATCATATAGTATCTGTCCTTTTGTGATGGGCTTTATTTATTTAATATTTTTATGATTTTTTTAGTGAGAAAGGGAGAAGGAGAGAAAGAAAGAAAGACTGATGTGAGAGAGAAACATCGATTCTCCCGCAACCCAGGCATGTGCTCTGACCAGGAATCGAACCGGAGACCTTTTGGTGCATGGGATGACACTCTACCAACTAAACCACACCAGCCAGGGTTATCATTTTTTGATGGATAGTTGCGTTGCTTCCACCTTTGGCTATTGTGAATAATGCTGCTATGAACACAGGTGTACAATATATTTTTTTAACTTATTTTGAAATAATAATAGATTAACAGAAAGTTGCAAAAACAATAGTCTTGTGCACCCTTCACCCAGCTCCCCCTAATGGTGATATCTTAGATAGCTCTAGTAAGATAGCAAAACTGGAAATTGACCTTGTTGATACATTACTATTAACTAGACTACAGACCTTACTCAGTTTTATCATTTAAAACAAAACAAAATCTTGTAATCCTGTGTGTTTGTGTGTAGTTCTGGTCAATTTGTCCCATATACAGATGTGTT